TGGTTTTGGGAAGACTGTGAGAAGGGTAAAGAGGATGTTTGTGATGAGTCTCAGTCCTTCTGTATCTAGAGACAGACTGAGCCTGTACCAGGGTAACCTCTGGGTGAAATGGTTAGCTTTCCAACCTCCTGACAAAGGGATGGAATTTTTCCTCTGACCTCTTTCAGTCTCTCTGGCTTCAGCTCATTGCAGTGGGGACTGAGATAACAATAGGGAGTCCATCAGAGAAATGGTTGTGAGATGCTGGGTGCTGCAGTAAAACCTCTAAAATAAAACAAGTTGAGTAGTGAAGATCTAGATTAAAGGGATGGAACAAGTCCTGTTTGCCAACTATGGATTTCTGCCTGTGAGACTTGGAAGGGATTCTGGAAAAAAGGTATGTGCAGTGTTTGTTCAGATGCAGTTTGGTCCTCCACCCCAAAGGCAGGCACCTGCCTGACATCTAGGAGTTTTTCAATCCAAACATTGTGGCTAGTTAAAACAAAATGAGACCTCTTCAATGTGCCTAATGTTCAAACCCTGTCCAACTCCATGCATATGTCGGTCCATACAGGGAGAGTTACCCTGTCCTGCTACCTGTGATCTGGGCTAGATCATTGCTGTGGGATAGGTAAATCTGCCCCAGGTTACTATGGCTCTGGCTCTCAAGTGACTGGTGACACACAAGGACAGTGTGAGGACAGCAATTTTCCCCACCCTTAAGTAATAATCCTCTCATTTTGCTCTCTCCGTACCTTCCTCAAGTGGATGAGGACTACTAACCATTCTTGGTGCCTGGGAAACACAGTGGCTATTTAAGAGAAGATCATTTCACCATGGGAAGGTCTGGAGAGGAGCCCAGAGCCTTTCCTAAGGGAGGACAAAGTAGTGTTCTCTTGGCAAATGCTTTCTTATTAAAACTCAAGTGTGGGATGTGACATCTTTTTACTGGTGCAGCATTACGTGCTTGTTATCTCTGTCTCTCTTTCAGTTGTAATACAATGCTGACTCATCCTAAATGGATTGCAGGCCCACTCAGAGTTGAGGAACTGACCTAACATCTGGATCCAAGTATCTGGGAGAGGAATTCCCTAGCATGGGGCTTTTGTTCCTTGTTTGTCTTTTCCTGGAGTTTGAGCTCCCCAGAGTTTTTTGTAGTGCATGGGAATGCCCACGGATCTCTTACAATGCTATGAGGAACTACACCGTGGAGTACAAGCTACCCAACTTCATCACTGACAGCCCCATCCAGAATATTGTCACCTATGAGGACCCAAGTGGTGCAAGTGCCATCTTTGTGGCAGTACGGAATAAGATCTATGTGTTGAGCCCAGAGCTGGCAAGTATGGATATCATTGTGACTGGCCCCATGGGCAGTGATCAATGTAAGATCTGTGCTCTTTGCCCAGGGACAGCAGGTGCTCTGCAGCCTGAAGACACAGATAATGTTGTTTTGGTTCTGGACCCATCTGAACCATGGCTTTACAGCTGTGGGACTTCCCAACATGGCCTGTGTTTCCAGCATGAACTGGAAGCCCAGGACAGCTTAGTTCTGGTTAAAGTCTCTCACTGCTTGTATGCACAACAGCAGAACAGCCCCTTGAAATGCCCTGACTGTGTGGCCAGTCCCTTGGGGACTAGGGTTCTGGTTACTGAAGACTCCCATGTTTCCTACTTCTACATTGCCTCCACCATCAACAGCAGCATAGCTGAGAAATACAATCCCAAATCAGTGTCTATCCGTAGACCAAAGGGCACTTCAGATGGGTTCTCCCCTGACTTCCGCTCCCTAACTGTGTGGCCTGAATACCAAGACACTTATCCCATTGACTATGTATATGCATTCAGGGACCAGGCCTTTGTCTATTTCCTGACAGTTCAAAAGGAAAATCCCACATCCAAGGCATACCACACAAGGATAGTGCAGCTGAGAGCTGATGAGCATGACATGCAGCACTACCGTGAGTTGATACTGGATTGCCGTTTTGAGTCTAAACGGAGGCGGAAGAGGAGCTCGGCAGGTCGGGTATACAAACGTGATGTGACTTTCAATGTCCTGCAAGCTGCTCATGCCACTCAGGCAGGTTCCAAACTGGCTTGTGAAATTAGCATCAATGATACAGACCTGGTCTTGTTTGGTGCCTTTGCTGAAAGTGAAGCAGAGAATGCGATGCCGCAGAAATATTCAGCAGTGTGCGTCTTCCCGGTGCGCATGATCAACCAGGCCATCAAGGATGGGATGAACAAATGCTGTGGCTCTGACAAGCATATCTTACGAGGCCTGACTTTCTACCAGAAAAAAGAGTACTGCCTGCACAGTGTGAGTCCCCCGTGAACGGTGCCCTTTTCCTCACCCTGGTTCCTCTTTAAGAAGGGTTTCTTGGAAGCAGGCCATCTGGGGTAGAATAGGAGCCATCACAATTTGCAATTCATCCCTACAACACAAACTGAGCTTCAGCTTCTGAGGCTTAGCAGTTTGGTTAGTGGGTCCCTGTTCCTTCCTGTAGCTTGGTCTCTGTAAGGGCACCTACACTGCATTGGACAATGCTAGGAATTGCCATGAGGAAAACATGCCCTGCCCTCTCGCTCCCATTCTGTGCACACCACAGGCTGAAAGTTATCATGTACCTGTTTTAAAGGTGCACCCAGTGACTCTCTCAGGTTGATAAACAGCAGCTCAAGGCTTGTCCTTTGCTACACCAACAGTAGCTACATGATATTTTTTGGAATGTGGTGCACATAGAGCAGGATGGAGTGGATGGGACACATTTTCAAAGCAGTGTTCCCTATAATCCTCTGATGCAGTGCAGGAGACCAGCATAAGTAAGGGAGGGTAAACACCAGCCTTGCGTGCTGATTTAACGGGGGCACAAAAATAGCAGCCACCCCTTCTGTCAGCCCTGCACTGCCGCTAGCATTAGCAACTCAGCTACTGCCACTACTTCGTGTTGCTGCCACCCAGAGCATAGAACTGTCCAGGTACACCTCTGAGATAGACGCCCTGTTTCCTGACTTGGCACACGCTGCAGTTTCAGTGAGAGACTTTTCTGGGCTAGGGACAGACATTCAAAAAGCCTGAGCCTGAATTGATTCAGCCTTTGCAAGTTAATCTAACGTGGCTAGGCTCAACCGGTTTGCAACTGTACAGAATGCCCTCTGGACTGAAGAAATGTAGGCACATGTCTGCAGTGGCTCAGGCTAGAAGCTTGAGGGGCATTAGAGCAGCCCTCCCTTCCCTTCTACAGGGCTGAGCTGAGGGGGGGGATGTCCAGGCCCTGGCAGGACACTCTGATTAGGGAGGGGTTTCCCCCCTCGAGGCTCCTGTCCAGGGAGGGAGCCAGCAGGGAGTTGAGGTGCTAAATGCTGTGTTATCATCAAGAAAACAAAACCCTCTCTCATTAGTTCAAGCTCTTAAACAACTTTTTCCAAGGAAGAAAGGGAGGGACATTACCAAATGACCTGTTGATTAGCTTCAGAAAGTCCTAAGTGGACACTGTCTTATCTGCCTTTGTCCTGTCTGCCGTATGCAGACACCTCTCAGGATTAGCTAGCACACCACATGCTGGCTATGGTCTATGCTATGGGAGAGGGAAGGGGGGAAATCCCTGCATGAGCAGAGTGGTGGGGCATGGGGGACTCTGGTTTAAGTTAAACCAGAAAGGGGTCTGAAATAAACATTACATAAATCTGTTTGACCCAAATCAGTTAAATCTGATACTACATTCAACCAGGTTTATCTCAAGCTGGTTTCAGCCATTTTCAAACTGGTTTATGTGCACTGAAATGTCTGTTCTGTTCAAAGTTTAAACCAGTTTCTGATCACTTAAACCAGTTTATGTGTA